AAAAAAAAAAAAAAAAGAGTCTGTAAACTAAATTGCTGTCCTCTAGCCCCATAATCAAAAACAAGAAAAGAATGTCACTCTCATCACTTCTATTTGATATTGCACTGGAAATTCTAGTCAGTGCAATTATGCAAGAAAAAGAAATATAGGCATCTTGATTGGAAAAGAAGAAGTAAAACTTTTAAAACACAAACAACATAATCATCTATGCAGAAAATCCTATGGGATATACAAAAATAAATAACTTCTAGAAATAGTGAATTTATTAGCAAGGTCACAGCTCATCTGAACCTGACAAAGGTGGTTTCCTCCATTACCTTGCTTAGAAGTAAAAGCTTGATTCTTAAAATGCAAAGAAAATGCCTAAAAGTCTTTTGAACTATAGGAATGCAGCCCAAATGCAGCAACTGTAGCTCTTATTCATAGTGGCACAAAAGACTAACAAATGCCCTTAAAGCCAGAGGCAAGGTTTTGCATAAAATATATTTTTTAATATTTACATTCTCTCTGATCTTCTGGATATTTTAATGTATACATGTTGCTCAGCCTAAGAATCAATTACTTTTCCAATATGCCTTTCTCAGCTGAAAATCATCCATGGTGGGGCTCAAGAAAACCACATAACTAGACTATTTTTTGTTATCCTCTTTAGTCTTAAATTTTTTAATCTTAAACTTACAAATTGGGTAAATGGTGATCACTGTGAATGCTTACTCACCATCAGCTGAGCCCCACTAGCACAGACTCATCATCCTCCCAGCTCCTTGCTAACAAGGGCACAATGTATACAGTCCCAGGGGCTAATCATGACTGGTTTAAACTCATTACAGCAAGCGCTTGCCCTTTGCTTTCCCACCCTCCCTTGCAGCTTGGAGTGGCCATGTGGTCAAATTCTGGCCAATCCTCATTGTCAACTGAGGATTTCTGTACTATGTTTCTGGATAAAAGTAGGTGCCTTTTCAGCCCACCCTGGTTTGAATGTGGTTTCTGAGAACATGACCACTGGTGCTATAGCAGCCATCTTGCTACCATAAGGCAAAATCCCAAGGATATAAAAAGGAAACAGGATGAAGATGCCAGAGAGGAAACAAAAGCTCTGGATCCTTGACATTGTTAAGCTACTTCACCAATCAACATTTGCTTTTCAAACTTTAGTAAGCATAAAGATCACCTCGAGGGTCTTGTTAAAATGCAGATTTTGATGCAGTAGGTCTGAGATGAAAATCAACTCGAGGGCAATGAGTATGGTTTTTGGAGATCTGAGATGGGGTCTAAAAACCAAAGCCAAACTCACTGCCATCGAGTTGATTCCAACTTACAGCAACCTTCTTTGGGTTTCTCAGGCAGTAAATCTTTATGGAAGTAGATTGTCTGGTCTTCCCTAAGAGTGTGTGTTTCCAACAAGCTCTGAGGGGATGGAGATCATACCCCAAATTGCAAAGTTCTAAGCTTCTCATGGGAGCTCTGGTAGCATAGTGGCTTAAGACACTTGCCTGCTAACCAGACGGCTGGCAGTTCAAACCCACCATCCACTCCTTGGAAGGAAGGTTGGGCAATCCTACTTCCGTAGTGATACTGCCTCGGAAACCCAAGGTGGGGTCGCTATGAGTTGGGTCTGACTGGAAGGCAAATAACAACAACAACAACAGGCTTCTCATATTGTGACTAATTAAATGTGTTTTTATTTCTTAAGCCAATGCCAGAATCCCATTACTTGCACCTGGAAGTTCTCCTAACTGATACTAAGTAATTGGTTGGGGAATTTTCACTCTATTGAGTTCTCATAGAAAGGTAGAAACAGAAGAATTCTAAGACTAGAACTGCTCCTTAACTAGAAATGGCCACACTTCAGTGACTGGCAAATAAGTTTTAGGAAGAAGCGAACTTACTTATGTAAGTCTAACCTAGATTTGAAGACATTCTCCTAGATTTGGAAAGTATGTATTGTTTTCTCCTCTGCCCCAACCATTGTTGGATTACACAATCAGCAAGGTAAAGCACAGGCTTACTTGTGCTTACTTACTAATCTACAGTGAACAATTTCACATATTTCACCACATCAAAGATTCTGCTTCTAGGTATGTCTGGCATCTTTCTCTCTCCAACCCTACAGCACCTTCCTAGAGGATCAAGGCCTCTTTTCAAACATATAACCCTTGACATGGTCAGAGTCCCCATAAACAAGGTAAGCACAGGCTTACCTAAGAGTCTTACCTAAGACTAAGTAGTAAATTTATTTACTACTCTGTAGTGAACAGTTCCACATGTTTTTCTGTTCACTACAAATTAGCATGTAAGCACAAGTAAGTCCATGCTTACCTTGTTTATTGGGTAATCCATCTCTAACCCCAATAATCATTCACTTACTCACTCACTCAATCACTCCTTCATTCATTTATTCAAATGTTACTAAGCATACAGCAGATGCAAACTACTCTGTGAAGCATACATAGAAGAATAAAACACAGACCTTGCTAACATAGGATCATGCCATTATAAGGGCAGACAGAGATGACAAAAGAATGGCTGGCTTACGGTCTTCACATCGTTGGTGCCAATAATTCCTCCAATCTCCCCCAGATCCTTCAGCAGCAAATTCAGGATTTCAGTAGCCCTCTTTTTCTGGTGGTTGCTAAGCTCTTGCAGCTGGCTCAGCTCTCTCTGTGTGGTTGTCAACGTCGTCTGAAAAACAGATTTCAACAACAAACTGAAAGGGTTGCCACTGACATCATCTATGCAGCATTATAATTAATAGCAAAAGGAATACAGTTCTTTTGTCATTTCATGTGATTCAACAAATGCAAAGAGTCTTTTTAAGTGAAACTACAGTATCAGCCTTGCATTCTTTGTTAAAAAGAGGAACTTGTCTTGAACCAGTATGTTATATGTCTACATATCAGTTAACAATTTCCAGGTCAGTGAAATAAGTAATGAAAAATAATGTTTAATCACATTTCCTACCTAGCAGATGTTTTCTCCGTCCTCATTCTCAAGGGCTAAACATACCCGCAATCGCCCCCACTTTCATTCACAAGTCTCCTCCTTAAGCCACTTCCAAATTCCCATCTGAACTCATAATAATAAATGGGTCTAGAAGGCCCAGAGGAACATTAATAAGTTTAGAAAACAACTCAGAGCCTTCTAATCTTAACGGTGAAGCTGAATTGAATACTATTCATCTCTTTTCACATTAGTCAAGTTGAACAACAGATGGCTTCTTAATATATGGCAAAAGCTAGATTTTCTTCCCAAACATTAACCAGTTCATCTCTTTTCCATTCCCCATGTATTTCACCAAAAGGAATACATTTCTTAAGCAACTACACTCTCAACTGCATTAGATTCAGTCATCCTTTGATGTCTCAGTATTCTTCAAATTAACTTAGCCAATAAAGTAGTTCTTGGGTTATGAACAAGATCCATTCCTAAATGTCTTTAAGTAAGTCTTTAAGTCTAATTTGTAGATAAGTCAGAATAGGTGTAAACGGTTCTTATTTAGCCTTAGTGCAGAGGAAGGAGCTCTGGTGGCGTAGTGCCTTAAGGCATTTGACTGCTAACCAGAAGGTTGGTGGTTCAAACCCACCAGCCACTCCTCAAAAGGTAGACTGGGCAATCTACTTGCATAAAGATTTGCCACCTTGGAAACCCAAAACGGGGTCACTATGAGTCAGAATCCACTTGACAGCAATGAGTTGCTGTTGTTCTGTTTAGTGCAGAAGAGGAGCCCTGGTGATGCAGTGGCTAAAGCACTCAGCTGCAACCAAAAAGTCAGCAGTTCTAACCCACCAGCCACTTTGTGGGAGAAAGATGTGGCAGTCTGCTTCCATAAAGATTTACAGCCTTAGAAACTCTATGGAGCAGCTCTATTTTGTTCTATAAGGTTGTTATGAATCAGAAATAACCTGAGGGCAGTAGGTATGGTTTTGGGTTGCAGCGAAAACAAGGCTTAAAGGCTTTTCAATGACTTAAAATTTCAATGAACATGCAGGCGCACCAAGCAAAGGTGATTGTGAAGAAGAATTTGTTGCCAGTAAGGTTGGTACAACTGTTTCAAAGTGAAGAAAAATTTACTTAACACTAAAGCGCAAGTATGATTTGTCTATGAGTCAGACATTTGCAAGCTGGAGACTGCCTATAATCCCCCTACTCCTATAGAGGTTAATACAAAGCAATTATATAATTCTTCCATGTTCAGCTATTAATGACCTGACTAAAAATACCCCTCTAGAGGAGCTCTGGTAGCATAGTGGCTAAAGCACTTGACTGCTAACCAGAAGGCTGGCGGTTCAAACCCACCAGCCACTCCTCGGAAGGAAGGTTGGGCAATCCTACTTCCGTAGTGATACTGCCTCAGAAACCCAAGGAGGGGTCGCTATGAGTTGGGGCCGACTCGACGGCACATAACAACAACAACAACAGACTAATCTAGTAATAACTTTTGTATGACAGAAAATAAGGAATGATAAGAACTTATTATGAAAAATATTTCATTGTTTTAAGAAGCAAATAATACACAAGGACTAATTAAAAGAATCTTGTAGAAAACTAAGAGAAACTCTAATCCTCCTCCTTTCCTAAGTGACTTCTGAATGCACTTTTGGAATTGCCATTGTTTCTTTTGTTTTCTTTAAAAATCCATAGTGGTGTTCCCATCCTGGGAAGCCATTAGAAAAGTCTTATTCCATGCAGTTGAATTTATGGATTTAGAAGCATTTCTTATCAGCTCTCCAGTTAGCAGATTAGAGCTTTCCTGCACCATCTGCTACTCCTCATTGCCCGGGAGGACTGGATGTTTTCCACAAAGCAGGCTAGGCACAATCCCATGATACCCGGCCATTGGACGTGCCAAGGGCAGCAGGTTACAGCCACTCAGCTCCCTGCACCATCATTTTCCAAGTGGAAAAGGACAGAATGGACACATCGGAACACCAGCTACCTTGCCAAACACTCACTGGCCCTGGTGTCCCTAGTTCACTGTGCAGAACCTGCAGCATCTTTCATCAGGAGAATCTGAAAATAAGGAAATGTGCGGACTGGAGCACTGGCTTCAAACAGTAAATGACAAACAGATGACGACAGCTTAGTCTTGGGCTCCTGAAGGTAACAGCTGGGACAAGAAGCTGAGAAGAGGGAATGCATTTCTGGAAGGGTATAAACAAGAAAAGTGAAGTACATACCCTCCATGGGTTCCTCACTCTTGCCTGTTAATAACATTTTGCGATTTATTGAGATTAGAGTATGTGCACACTCCATGCTAAGTGCTTTACATAAACTGTCACTAATCCGCAACCACCTGCATGAACATGTTATTACTCCCATTTTTACAGATAAGGGAACTAAGACTCAAGAAACTTAAATGTCTCTAAAACCTAATTACATTAATTTAACTAAATCCTAACACTGGTGAAGTCAAATTTTTAACAAGGGTTTTTTCGACACTCTCTTGACTATTCTATAAGACCTTCCTGTGATCTGTTAGCAATCCGGGGGCTTTGGGGCGGGGAGGTATGATGGCAGTTCCAGCATGAGTGTACAAAATCCACTTGCAGATTATTTAAGCTGTTGGAGGACCATCAGAGAATGCATCTAAGTCTAACATTAAACAACTGTTCAGTCAACTGCCTTCTACAGTGTCTGTCAACAAGCATCAATATAAGTGTAAGAAATGAGGGAACATCCTGAGGCCACAAAAGAAGTCCCACCCCCAGACATAAATGCTCCAACCGTTTTCTGGGCCAGTTCATCCGTCAGCTGCTCATTGGCCCTGGTCTTGTCCTCTACTTCCTGTGACTTCTGGTCATAATTGACAGCCAGCTCTTCCAGGGCCTGGAGGACTTCTTTCACCTCATCTTTGGCTGCCTCATTTTCAATCTGGAGACGTGTCAGCTCCTCCTGGATTTTCTCATAGTCTCTTCTTGTGGAAGCCAAAAGCTGGAGAAATGAGAAGGCATGGAACTTGTAAATATAATGCTCAATTGTTTATATTATGTGCTGTATCCAAAATAAAGTAATTTTAAGAAACAGATACAAGGAAACAGGTTGGAAACATGCAGCATGACTGGGAACCTTACCACGTGGTCCAGATGCTAAATAAAAATTTAGAAAAAAAAAAATAAAGCTATGTAGCATAGTGCCCAAGGCACTTGAATGCTAACCAGGAGGCTGGTGGTTCAAATCCCCAGCCACTCCTTGGAAGGAAGGTTGAGCAATCCACTTCCGTAGTGATATTGCCTCGGCAACCCAAGGAGGGGTCACTATGAGTCAGGTCCTACTTGACGGCACATAACAACAACATGTAGACTTAATTCAAATAATTAATTATGTATCAGCAATCATGTCACTTTCTATCTGGTTGGTTATTCACATGTTAAACAGAAGGTGAGGGAATCATACTGGCGGGTAGTAATACCATGCTTATATAGCTTTTTTATATTATCTTGATTTCACTTTGTAAACAGGTCGATTTCACAGACTCAACCAAAACAGTGTAAAAGGGTAGCCAGTCACTTTTAACATTCATCATTGATGTACAGAAGGACATATCCCAAATATTAATGCTAGTTACATGTGAATACCTGGGCTTCTAGATGATTTCATCATCTTTGTGCCTACTGTATTATCTGATTTCCTTATAAGGCACAGATATCGACTTGAAAGTATAAGGAAAAAATTATTATGAGTTTTAAATCTAAAAGGAAAGTTTATCACAGGCAGTTGTACCCATGTTGGAGATGCAAAAGAACAGAATGAGAGGAAGTGGAGAGGAAACACTAAGCAAATGAAGAATTCAACTACATGTAAGATGTTGTTCTTGTTGTTATATGCCATCGAGTTGGATCTGACTCATAGTGACCCCTCCTTGGATTCCCAAGGCAGTATCACTACAGAAGTAGATTGCCCCATCTTCCTTCTGAGGAGTGGCTGGTGGGTTGGAACCACCAACCTTTTGGTTAGCAGTCAAGTGCTTTAGGCACTACACTACCAGAGCTCCCATATGTAAGATAGACATCAATTAAATATAAGTAATCCAACTGCAAAAGGCATAGATCATCCCCCTACCAAGGGGAGTGTGCAGCGGGCAAAATCATTGTTCTGGCAAGATGAAGGGGAACAAAGAAGAGGAGGAAAGAATGGTTACTGAGACAGTTATGTCTGTGGGAGGGCCTGGGCCTGGGGATATGAACCCAAGCCACATACTATAATTGCATCACATGATCCAATCCATAGCATTTTAACAACAAAGCAGAAAGCATCTTGAAACACAAAAGATAAAAATATTCAGATGGTACTCAGAGAGAGAATTATTAATCATCTGTTTGATAGACTGGCTGGCTGTCCTTTGCTTAGATTCATGTTTATAAAATACTTGGCAAAATGGAACACAATGAAGATATTTACCTGAAAATCTGATGCAATCCAAGCAGAGACTGAAAACAATCATCTTCCTAATGCAGCACTTGTACCCCTCTGCCACTGTTTTCCCTTCCTCACCTTCTACTCTTGTTTTTACTACAGGACAGCAGAAGATGGTCTACATCAAAAACCTGAGCCAGATGCTTTGCAAAGCTGAAAAAGGCTAAAAAGGCATGAAACAGCAGTGCTGGGCACTGGGTAAGAGGTAGAATCTTCCTTGCCCAATTACCATGCTCCTTTGCCTCTGCTATTCAAGGACTGGTTTCAACAACCAGCTTCTCACTCAAAACCTCAGATCTCTATGGAGTCAGGCGTTTGTGTTCTAAATTCAGCTACAATCAGCTTTTAACATTCATTAAAAGAAATCTTCCAAGAAACTTTCCCATCATTCACTAATTTTAAAAAAAAACTCTTTACAAATTAAATTTGTGGAACAAACATCAACAACAACAAAAAAAAAAGTGTTAAAAAAAAAAAGCTTTGTACATTTTTTTTATGGCATTATTTACCTCATCCTGATCCAACATCTGTTGCTTTAGCTTTTCAGCCAGCTGGCTCTGCTGGTTAATTTCATCATCCTGAAATGAAACATCATCATGTTTAATTTTTTTTTTTTTTTTTTTTTGCCATTTTTGATATCCCGGTTCCCTGGTGATAGGTACCAGGACGCCAGCTAGAAGTTTACAAATAAGATAAAGGGCATGACACGGTATTCCTTTACAAAGATGGATTGGTTGCCTCTGGATTTTGAGTTTGTTAAAAAACCTCTTTCACTTATCTTTCTCAGCAGTTAAAACATCTAGATAGTCTGGGAAGTATATCTTACATGTTCAACCCAAATACTGTTCATCGAAAAGTCAGAGATGTAGGGTTTGGGACTTGAGTTTTCCCTTCCAATTCAAAGACATTAACAATGAATTCCTAGTTCAAAAAACAAGGGAGTAGATTCCTAATCACCTAGACGATAATATATTAATGTCTCAAACCTTGTCAAATCTTATCAGTGACCAGAACGCTGTCACTGCAAATCTTTTACTTTCAGATGTTTGTTATTTGGAAAACACTTTACTAGAAAATTCATCTTTGTCATTAACAGAGATTTTCCTTTTTGTTCACTCACTCACTGCCACAGAGTTGATTAAGACTCATAGCGACCTCCATTGGATGTCCAAGGCTGTAAATCTTCACGGAAGCAGACTGCCTCATTTTTCTTCCACAGAGCGGCTGATGGGTTTGAATCAGTGCCCTTTGGGTTAGCAGCCAAATGCCTTAAGCACTATACCACCAGAGCTCCTTTCTCTCTTGATTAGAAGTTAATTTTCTCATCGGTTTATTAAAAAATAAAATAAAATTTGAGGGAGCTGGATGGTGTAGGATTGTTAATACTTCCTTGTTTCTCACTGAAGTGAGAAAAGATCTCTAATGAGCAGATGTTATCTTCATAGTATAGGAAAAAAAAAAAAAAAGAAGTGTTTTAACTGTAACAAGAAGGCAAGTTTATTGCAGGCAGTTGTGCCAGCGTTGGAGATGCACAGGACTAGAATGAGAGGAAGAGAGCAGGAAGCAAACAGAGATATACTTTTCCCCTCATTCTCATTGTCTGCCACTAGATGTTGCTGCCACAAAAGCTGGGGTGTTCACTGCCTGCCTCTCACTGCCAAGTACAACACTGCTGCCTCTCCCTAGACACAGTCCGTCCTCAACAAGGGCAAAGCAGCAGGCAGGTGGCAACTAACAATACGAGATACTCAACAATCCCTGCAATGATTTTCATGATTTCAAACAAAATTTTGAAGCAAAATCTGTGAAAAATGGCAACATGGAGTTGCATTTGGCTCTCTTAGAAACAGAAGAAAATCCTATTTAATAACAATTTCCAGGTCTAAATCCCAAGCACCATGAGGCATTGGTGGTTCAATGACAGAAATCTAGCCTACCAGGGGACTCAGGTTCAATTTCTGGCCAGTGCGCCTCATGTACAGCCACCACCCATCTTGCAGTGGAGGCTTGTGTGCTGCTGTGATACTGAACAGGTTCAGATTAAGATGGACTAGGAAGAAAGACCAGGCAATCTACTTAGGAAATCAGCCAATGAAAATGTTACAGAGTGCAATAGTCTGATCCATAACTGATCATAGGGATGGCCAAGATCGGCAGCATTTGAGCTTATTGTGCATGGGGCATCATGAGTAGGGAGCCAACTAAATAGTAGTTAACAACAATAATAGCAAATCTCAAGCAGTCAGATTTGGTTTACTATTATTGGGTCTCTCTTTATGACAGTTTCTGCCTAAGTGTTTTCAGAAGCAGCCAATACAAAACCTGTACTTTCTGCCTTTTCCTGAGGTACGGAGAGAGGTCAAGGGCCTGGGTCACAGGACTTCAATTTTCCATGAGATATTCCCCAGCATGTGTGGTAGTGCCCATGCATATATCTGAATCAGATTAACTCACTGTCACAGAGTAATGCTTTCGGTGGAGTGAGGAAATTCTAAATTCAAGGCTACAGGGTCTGTATGTCCTTTTTCTTTGTATGGAATATAACTTCTGGCCTCACTTCTCTGCTGAAGAAGATCTTGTTTCTACTGAAATTTTTATACCAATGTTTCCTTAATGCTTCTACAAAATACTCATGACATTCCTGCTCCAATTAGATTTCTGGCAAGAGAATTAGGGAAATTACTCTAGAATGCAACAGTCAAAATCTGGTACTTCTACAACTAAACAACTTTGTAGGGCATATTTTCCCTTCCACTTTATAAACTGAGCATGTCAATTACCAGGGACAATTTTGTGTTTATGCTCCTCAGCACATAAATATTAAACAACTTCACATAAAAGACCCAAGGAGTTTAACATTGGCGAGCTGTCATCTCTCCCTTGGGTCATATAAGCAACCACTACAAGTGATAGAAATCACGAGAGAAGGAAAACGGTGAAAAGAGCTCTTTGTTCTTATACTGTGCTCAGTTCAAAGCCTGAAGACACAAGTGTCTTCTCTGACAGGTGACAGACTGGGATGTGGTGATTTTTGAGGCACAGTGAAAAACAAAGGGCCCCTAGCCCCATCTGGGAAGGATGAAGAGCAGGGATTCCGTTACAAGGATATGGATGACTGGTACCAGAGACATTCCATAACTACCTTTACCTTCTGGCAATTTCACTAAGGAATTAGCTTGGTCTATTGTGATTTTTTTTTTTTTTTAATTTTTCAAAACTTTCAGAATAAGGAGTGCTGTTCAGTCTATACTTATACATTCAAGTACATTTCCTAGAATATGCTTCAGCATGCTCACTTTAATGTTGATTAGTAAGATATCTGTTCATGACCCTTTTGCACATACAGTACTGTGTTGTCAGGGAAGGCAAACATGGGTATATGGGTGGACAGATGGGAGGACAGGCTGAACTATTAGGTATGTCTATGAAGTGGAGAGTGTACCCAAGA